GCGGCCTCGCGCTTTCGAGATAGGGGATGAGAGACGAATACCGGAGGAGATCGTTATTTGCGCGGAGGTATTAAGGACATCTCAAAGTCGAATTCGATGGCTGCAGTGTGACGTTACGTTTTCTATCCGCTGCTTTCTGGAATTTATATAATGCAGCGTGTTACGTGTTTTAGAATATATCTTTTTTTTTTTTTTTAAATCTTCTAGATAGTTTACGATTTGTCCAGAAAGGACATTTGGTAAATTGTTAAAGCAGCGTTGAGATAATTAGCACATAGATGCTTCCACGATAGATTGCATTTTTAATGCACGCGCTCCTTATACAGGGTGTCCGCGATAAAGTGTGACAGACGCATATTTCAATAACTATCGATGATACGAAAAAATTGTTTACATGTAAATCGCAGGATACAATATGCTCTATATTTTGGAGTAAACGAAATTTTTTTGTGGTGGCTTTTGGTGCATTCAAGGAGACTTCACTGTATTCCGAGTTTTTGTTTTCCCTTTTTTGGGTAACGATCTGCTTCCGTGCGTGGATGTCCACCCCTTCTATGCGGGTGTGAGAAAAATCGAGAAATCTGACCCACCAGCCACCAGGGCCGCAAAGGCTGGACAGTCGATACCGTAATCTGAGTTGGCTTCGAATTTTGTCGGCGTCCTCGTAGCAATCGCGATCATGTGTCTATGTAATCTCGTCACTGGCCACTGGACACTGTAGAAGTTGTCCCATTTAAATAGTTCTCCTCGAATGTCACCGAGACCGTTGACGATACCAGCGAATGCTTGAATATTCGCATTTAATGTTGTCGTCCCACCAAAAACTACACCAAAACCTACTCAAACAGTATGTACATTAACGGTATTCAGTATTCCCGGTCCTCCAAGAACTACACCAAATCTTCTCAGACAGTAGATTTCAGGCCTGATGCTATGATCCTCCACGGTGGAGGGTGTAATATCAGCGAATACTTGAAACGAAAGTTAAATGGTTTCGCAAGAGAAACGTGGAGAGGAAGCGTGAAAATATCAGGACATTCACACTGTTGGAAGTTTGGATGAAAAATTCAATTGCGAATTGAAATTAAGATTCTCTTCTCGAGCTGGAAACTTCGCGGTACCGTCGCGGCGAAACAAGTGACAATGGTTTGAGAGAACGGCGCTAAGTTGGCTACGAAATTACGCAAAACAAAATTACACCGAGTCCCAACCACCGTTACCGCTGGACGTATAACTTCGACAGACACTTTAATCGCTCAAAATTAGACCAATTTAAGGCGCTCTAATTTGCTGTTCCCCGTGTTACGTGTCTCGCGCGGAGTCAAAATGCTCGACGACTGGTAGAACGGGAGATAGCACAGGAGCGCGGCATTATATCGAGTTTCTGCACCAGTTCCGAAGAACGGGGAGCGAAGTATCTTCTACATAAATTTTTACGAATCATCTGCTCCATTCGTTTCCTCTACGTAATATTTTCTGACGCCGTTTCGTATCGCTCGAGCGCGAAAGTCGCTCGTCCTACGTACACAAATATTTAAAGAAGAAATCGAAACAAACGATATCAACGTTTATATTTTCGTCCCGAGTGTTTACGTCCCCGTAATAACGTTACTCAACGTTAATTCAGGTCCTGCTGTATCAATATCTCGAGTAAATTATTTCTCGTAGAACTCGTTGGGAAGCCGTCCTGTTCGAGCAACAAATATATACTTTCCAGATGACTGGAGACCACGTGAACGAACCACCAAGTAAATAGATGCATCGGAGTCTAGTCGCACAGCTGAAAACCGAGAAGAAGCTCGCCGAGGGAAGGCAGGCTCGATAAATTGCCGGTTAATTGCCAGTTTGTCGACGTCGCGGGTATTGGACTTTATAGCTGCTTCCAGTGATTTATGGAAGCGTTCTGAGAGCTTCAATAATGAGAAATTGAAAGATTTTCCGTCCTAGGGACTCGCATTTATTCCGACGTTTAGCGTACTAATAGCGACCCGTTGGCGGCATTAAATACGGCGGAACGAATTCTCAAGAATTATGTTCGAAAGCATTTTTTCACCTGGAGAGCACCAATTAGAGTAAAGACTGGATAAGTGAAAGAAAATTGGGACCCAAACGTTGCAGTTATCGAGGTTTCTATTCTGTGTTTACATTTGACGCGAGTTGAGCGTCGAACGTAGAAAAGGACAGAGAATGAAAGAGAAAGAGGTCCGAAGAGAAAAAGCAGAAGCTTATCAATCGGTTAGAGGAAGAGAGCTTGTAGTTCGGAGTGAGAAGCGTGTCCTTGACTAGCCATCTTGTCGGGAACGCAGAATAAAAGCAACAATTACACGAGTTCCAAGGAACAAGGTACGCATAAGATGGCTGCCATTAAAATCTACGCTCAAACTTTCCCGCAAACGAGAATTCTACGTTCACTTGGATGGAAATCGCGTACGCGTTAAGGAAACCACGCGGAAAATGTTCAAGAATGTCAACTTCAGATACTTCGGATGCAGACGCGGAGAAAATAAATAATATATCTCGAGCAAACGTTACATAACGTGGTTCAAACCTCGAATATTCCCGAGTAACATTCTTTCCAAGACGATATCACGAGATACAGACGGTACAAAAGGACAGGAACAAAAGGTACATTTGTCGGGATATTTTTATAAGGCTACAAGATATGAGAAAAGCGTTCCGGTCCATTGGATCCCAAGATCGATTCGTAATCAGAGGATAATACCGGTTCATCTCGGCGGAAGCCGGGGATGCATTTCCATTTACCACCCCTAACTTCGCCATCTGGTTTCTCCAAGGATGATGATGGCGTTTTCGTTCCTGTAACGATTACGCCGAAGAGCAAGACATAAATCGTCGAAAACATCTTGGTATAAATCTCGCGCCACCTGGCGGACATTATACGGCAATCATGGCGCGAACAACCATAACGTACGATGCATAATGTGGTAAAAAGTGGTCTCCCCAAGCAGGTTCACGCTTATAACAAAACGTCCCGTTTCGACGAAATAGTGTCGAATTCGCTCGAAATCCTTCCTCTTTCAGCTGTTGCGTAACCTGACCCGAATTCCTCAGCCACCCCAGAGCGTGCAAGTTTCATAAACAAACGTTAACCAACAATCGCATAGACGGGGACAAATAATTTACCGTCTCGGCGCGGCAACATTGTAATTCCCACCGGTCTATACCCAAAGCTCTCTCCGTTCCGCTCCCCTCGTCACCGCAGAATCAACCTACCCTTAGAAGACGCATAAACGCTCAGCTGCACCGGGAAAGGCATTAATCTTCCGCGATGGTGAGCAACGAGTATTCGCGTAGGTGTCTCCGCGTCGACAATTTCCGTGCACCGTTGACGCGTCCAATTTCCAGTGGGTTTCTCCCCCTCCAGTCGGCCAGAAAAAGGAATCTGCATTCCGATATTTCCGACGTCGAAGCTTCCCAAAGCATCAGGAAACGATCGTCCCAACGAGACGCTTCTGTCGGTCGCCGCGCACGGAATCGGGAAACTCGGAGGAGTTTTATTTCCCTGTCCGCCATCGAGAAAGGCTCGAAAGAGAGAGTGATCACGTGGACAGCAGCTATAAAGTCGCGGCATTATGCTCGATGTTCGACGGGAAGCACGAAACGACTCGCCGAGGGAGCGTTTCGAATTGCTCCTGAAATCTCGATACAGCGCCGGGCCTGGCCACGTAATTGGCCGCTTACATAATTGATGGGATGGCGTACCGGTGCACGGTAACCAGCGGGTTATTCGTGAATCGTAACGGAGGTAATTACACGGCACGATCGAATGCTTTGTTTTAGTAAAATTTCACCGCGCTTACCAGCTGGATCGATAATAATTACCGACCGAATGAATGCGTTGTTTATCGATTTTTTTTCAAGCTTTAAGTCTGAATGTTTCCAGCGTGAATTCCGCGGTTGTATCGGTTTACGTGAACGCGCAGAGAGATGTTTAGGTATTCCGTAGTTGCTTCGGAAACACGTATACTAAAATTGGAACGATACGGAGAATATTAGCATGGTCTCCTGTGCAAGGATGACACGCAAAATCGGGAAGCGTTACGCATTTTTAGAAAATATCTAAAGTATGAAAAGACTGATATATATTCCTATGAAATAATTTTTGCCACAACGTAAAGAAATGCCACAAACTCTCTCAGACAGTATTTCCACGGTACACATGTATACATTAACATTATTCAATATCGCTGCCCACACCAAATACTATCCCAAACCTAATCAAACAGTATTTCCATGGAGAGAGTATACACATTAGCAGCAATCAATATTTCCACCCTCAGCCTCCGCAAAGAAATGCCACAAACCCTCTCAGACAGTATTTCTACGTAGACAGTATACATGTATACATTAACAGCATTCATTATTGCCACTCTCACCAAAAACTAACTAAATGTTTGGGTTCTAGGAAGGTGCGAAAAATCATATAAGATTTTAAAAAAGGCATTATTTCGAAATCACAGACAGACGCTTCAATTTTATTAATATAGATAATTCAATATAAATGAACACATATTTTTAACACGCGCGTATTTTTAAAATTAGACGCAGGATATTTTTGTAAATGACTGTATCGAAACACGCAGCGCAAAATGAATATCGTAATTCATGCGCTAAAACAAAATCAACAACAACAACAACAACAACGTACTTAGGTATTCCTGTGCTGCTACATCGTCGATAACTAGGAATGGGATCCGACTTCGGTCAAAGATAAACCCGAGAGATTTCTCCGGAGGATTCTCTACGTATTTCTCTGTAAATTGGCTTCTGTATATGCCACTGTGAAGATAGTAGACTCGTGTTGAATGTGATAGTTTGTGGACAAACTGTTGTTACAACAGCTAGGAGTCCCATGCAAACGTATTTACGGTAACCTCGAGGGTAGGGTTAACACAAAGTGCAGTAAGTTAAGATACACAAAGTCAGACCTCGTGGAACTTTGCTCGGTGGTCTTTGTCAAAGTCTTTCGATTCACTCACCGGTAAAGCATGCGCTCCTGACGATCAGCCTCCTGGTAGATCTTGTAGTACATCGCGATCATGATGATACCTGGCACCCAGAAACTGACACTGGAGCTGACCACGGCGTACGGTTTGTTCACTTGGAACACACAAACGTCCGGGTAGTTTCGTCGGAATTCGAGGTGCTTCTCGGTAGTGTACCATCCGGCGAAGATGGGCAGGAAACTCATCACCGTCGGTGAACACCAGACCACGCTGAGCATGGTGCTCAGCCGAAAGTTGGTCATTATCAGAGGGTAGTCCAGGGGTTGCACTATCGCGTAGTAACGATCCACGCTGATGCAACAGAGATGGAGGATGGACACGGTGCTGAAGAAGACGTCCAACGAGTTCCACACGTCGCACATGAAGTAACCGAACAGCCACTTGCCGGAGAGCTCGACGGAGGCGTTGAAAGTCATGGCGAAGATGGCTACCAGCATGTCCGCCAGGGCTAACGAGACGACAAAGTAGTTGGTAATGACGCGCAGCTTGCGATGCCTCATCACGGACACAATCACCAGGAGGTTGCCGAACAGGGCGCTGAGGATGATGAACCCCATCACCGTCGCCTTCACCGTCAGCAGAAGGACGTGTTCCAGCTCGTGACTGGCCTCGTGCCCGTAGACGTCCGAGTGATTGCTCTGGCCAGTGCCTACGAGGACCTTGGGCAAGTTGGAGAACCCCGTCGCGTTTACCAGGTCCTCGTCCATTGTTTCGTTCAACTGCATCTCGAGAATGGCGTCCATCCAGACCTGAGTTCTCTCTCCTGGCGATTTTATCCGCGACGGTCCTCGTCGCCCCCTTCGTCGCTTTCTTCGTCGTCGTCGACGACGCGGATGATCGGACAGTCCTGCCAGGCCATCGATGAACGGAAGTGCACTTTGACCCTTGGCTAGCCGCTGTTAAACCTGTAGCCTCTCCGGGCTATGAGAACGTTGACGGAGACGTGACTTGGCTCTCGACGGAGGTTTTGTTGATCGACGAAACGCTGCAGACATTTTTACGGGGACCAACACGGAGAGACTCGCTGAAGGATTCTAGAACGCGACGGTGAACGGTGATCTATACGACTGCCGGCCTGAATTGCAATCCTGCCGGAGAGCTTTCTTTGGCCGGGATCCAGATGGTGCGGTGTCCAGCTCGATTTTGATCCGGAGTACGTCGCCGCGATGAGAGCCGCAGCTTCGGTTGGAGCTTGAACATCGCGACCCACCTGTAATCGAAACAAGCGGAAGATTGAAGTATTTTTTTTTTTTTATTTAAATAAATTGAGTTTTATATCGCTTACTTTCAGACTCGGAGTAGATCTCTTTGAAACTTTCGAAATATTTTATCGAAAAGGGAGAAAAGAATGGTGCGATGTTTACAAGATGTATGATCGGTTAAGATACAGCATCGGTGTGTAATGAAATTTCCAATACGTGTCTTATCGGCCGGTATTCTTTCCCCTTTGACACGTTAAATAGCGGACGATATTGGCATTATTTGAAATTTATATCGTTGCTAAACGATATTTCGTTACAAATAAGATGCAATTTATAGTACTATCGATAACACTAGTTTACAGCCGAAATGTATATTCAATGCTACCATTTTCTTTTCTTATGTATCTTGGCCTGCTGAACTGGAAAATCGCAATGAAAACATTTTCTATGGATAGGTTTTCGAGATATGAATTTTTGAATTTTTTCTCGATTTTTTTAGGCCATATCTCGAGCTAGAAACGTCCGATTGGGTCGCGCAAGATACCATATTATAGGTAATCGAATCTTCAACGCCTGCTTCTGACATTGCGCATTGCGCAATGCGAATCGCCAGCTATTTATCACGGATCGGGTGTCAGAAAATAGAAAACAAATACGAGCACGGAGAAAAAAGACTCGATGGTGAAAACTAACTTTTGTAATCCTTAAATTAAATTGATAATACAATTGGAATTAATTGGGCGTTGTTATTCCGGGTGGAAACGATAATAGTCGATTCGCTGCGGTACGCGCTCTCCGAGTTCGGGGCACGCGGGCAATTAAAACCGGTGGAAAGCGTTGAAATACGGGCACGCACCGTCGTTAAAAGTAAAAACGTTGACGCAAGAGGTAAAGTTTCATTAAGATCGCGGCCGCGTATATTTTGCGAAGATATTGGAGCGGGGACGCTGCACCTGCCGCGCGGCAATTAGGAAAAATCGTGTAGCAACGAGGGCCGCGGGATTTTCTAGAGCGGAATGCTCGTTGTCTCGTGCTGCGGGATTACGAGCACGCGGAAGGATGGCTACCAGCTTGTACAACTTCGAGTTACATTAAACGGAGGAAACTGCCGGTCCCAGCGGAACGAGGGTCTCGCTGAAATTTTACGACTTTAAATTGTTTTACATTTTTAACGCGTGAAAATTAATAACGCGGGTAGGTCGACTCCTTCCCCGAAATTTCAGAAGGAAACTTTCTTCGGAGTACTTCCATCCGTTGAATTATCGCGCCGTAAAAACGTTTCCATTGCTACCGAAGACACCGTAGCGTCTGACATATGGTCGGATTATACTACTAGCTCCACTCGACGCGCCAGACATTTTCTTCCCTCGCGAAACCCTACACAGATACGATATCGACGCTAAACACATTTCTCCGGCTCGTGCGTGTCCCGTTTCTCCGATACTCGTCAACATCGAATCAAATTGAACCGCGTCTCGCTTTATTTTCTCGGAATCTTCGCACACCTGCGCCTCGTACTTCCAATCGTTACGGTTCGCCGTCTCGGTTACCGACGGTTTCCGACACGTAAACTTTTTCATGAAGACAAACGACAGGAATCGTTCCATTAAAAGTGTATGACACGCCGATTACACTCGAAAAATTATAGATGTAGTATTTTTGTTACTATGATACATCCGAAAGGGGAATCGAAGTACAGTCAGTCCCGTAAGTGTTCGTATCCTGTGGATTCATTAGAGTAATTCTTTTCAAAGTAAATGATAGATATCAATTGTTTATTATATATACAGTATTGTCTAGGAATAAGCAACTGTTTTCTGCCTCGATGTAAGCAGCTCGCCGGTCCCGACCGAGTTGCTTGTTCGTTTCTTCATTTCAAAGATACTTTAAGGAAAAAATGTATCCTAGTCTCGTTCAGACATAATCGGGCAAACATATTAAATTGCGCATCGGAAATTTACTTTTTTCATTAAAAACTGAGCTAACACGCTGGTCGATTAGTAAACATGAAAATAATTATTACAGCGTATACAGAGCTATATAAGGAAATTTTTTGATGATTTTGCATGCAGCTCAAGCTGTGCACGAGGAGTTTGAACAGACACAAAAATATTACGAAATTGAACGGATGAGTGTTAACGACAGTACTTAAATATAAATATCAATTTATATTTAATAACTTTTAACTCATTTTATTTGTTTTCCATAAACTTTAGGGTATAGTTAAAGACATAAAATAATTGATTTCGTTAATTTCAACAAAGATTGAAAATCCCACTTTGCCACTGTGCGATTGTATGATTGGCAGATCTATCCAAGCAGCTACGTCCAAGATTATGCAATATTCAATACGACTAGAGCGGTATTCCAAGTTCGCAGAGGTGAACAGTTTACCTCAAGGTTCCACAGGTGCGCCCGTTCCCGATGTGCACCATTCGCATCGTCACATTCGCCACAAAGTGTTCATAGTTCCACACAGTTTACGATCAACCTCCACCACTGGTTGCTTGGCTACATCATCCCAATACAACGCAACTACACCTTCCAATTTTCACGTCTTATATTCGAGATCGTGGATCAACCGCGTGTTGTCCTGTCGATATTCCCCGATTAAACTGTTACGTTGCCGGTTCCTCGGCAATCAATCCTCGCAATGCTCGGTCACCGGCAAAGTGAATCCGGTTAGATGTGAAAACCCTCGGTGCCTTCGAATTTTCACCTGGGAAAACTTCATCCCCCTTCCTAGGGGGAGGAAAGAAAAGAATGGAGGACTAGATTAGAGCACAAGTTGAAACCGATACCGATAAAAGGCTCGCATCGTCAGAGAGCAAATTTTGGAGAACATGGAGGAGGTGATTCAAAGTATCCAGGTCCAATCACGTTAGATTCAAAGTGTCCAGGTCCAATCACCTCAGATTTAAAGAATCCAG